TATATAAATTTATATGTATATTTTTTAATATTATATTACAATAAAATTAAATATTAAAAATTGATATATACTTACATTATTCTAAAATTTTTAAAAATTAATATTTAATACATAAAAGATAAAATAAAAACATAAAAAATATTTTTTTAGATATAATTTTTAAAAACATATTTAAAAATATGATTTATTAAATATTTAGAAGTGCTATTATGTATAAAAGATATAAAAATTTTTTTTTCTCTCTCTTCTCTTTTCCTTTCTTTTTTCTCTAGCAAAAAGCAAAAATATATACAAATCAAATTAAAGAAGAATACTTACACTAACAAATAAAAAACCTTGAAAAGCGAATAATATGCCAAAGTAAAAGAGCGCCCCAAGCAGCATCAAAGTAAATATATCATCAATGATATAGATTGATCTGTAAGAGAAAGTTATCAAGCAAAACGATACCAATGAATATTTTAATCATATTATTATATTATTTTTATGAATGCGAAAGAGAGGGATTATATAAAAGAGTTTCTATTACTATTAAATTAAAAAAGAACTCCATTATTTTATTCTACTAATATAGGGCATTAAAAAAAAAATTCAGTAATTGTTTCAATCTTTCGTAAATTAACTTTATATATATTTTTTAATTTTGTGGGGCAAAAAAATTTAGTGATATTCAAACATTTCAAAATTTTACAATACTATATTATAGGCAAAGTAAAAAAGAGCAAGAAAATTCCTTGATATTATCAATGTTTAAACATAATGAATAACCTGATGAGACGTATATGATCCTGTACGCTGTAAGATAGAACGTTTTCGAAATTGTTAAATTTATCGAGGTCGATGACGCGTGCCTTGAGATTCTCCAGCTGACCGCACACGTGAAAGACCAGCAGACTTAAAAAACAATCTGTACTGGTGTACGCAGCACCAAACATAAATATGCCGATAGATTGCAAGGTGTATGTTATTTCATAAAACGGACTTTTATCTCGATCATAAAAGTAATACGTTTGTAACGGCATTAATCTATCCGGGTCCGTTATATTCGTCAGATATCTCATTGAAAAACCAAAGACAGGAAGAGTCGTACCCAAAGAGAAGGTCATGAACATTATAAAATATCCGAATATCGTGAGTATGTACGCGAATCGCGCTCGTTTTATCATAATATTCTTCTCTTGCACAGTTTTTTGCTTCAACCAATCGTGCTTAATCATGTTTAGAAGCGGTAGAATATCTAGAAACAATAAGTATGTAGAAATACATGCGTCACAGTTGCTTATTTTTGATATATATATATAAAGAGTTTCTATTACTATTAAATTAAAAAAGAACTCCATTATTTTATTCTACTAATATAGGGCATTAAAAAAAAAATTCAGTAATTGTTTCAATCTTTCGTAAATTAACTTTATATATATTTTTTAATTTTGTGGGGCAAAAAAATTTAGTGATATTCAAACATTTCAAAATTTTACAATACTATATTATAGGCAAAGTAAAAAAGAGCAAGAAAATTCCTTGATATTATCAATGTTTAAACATAATGAATAACCTGATGAGACGTATATGATCCTGTACGCTGTAAGATAGACCGTTTTCGAAATTGTTAAATTTATCGAGGTCGATGACGCGTGCCTTGAGATTCTCCAGCTGACCGCACACGTGAAAGACCAGCAGACTTAAAAAACAATCTGTACTGGTGTACGCAGCACCAAACATAAATATGCCGATAGATTGCAAGGTGTATGTTATTTCATAAAACGGACTTTTATCTCGATATATATATATCATGTTTTCGATCTACATAATTTACAAAGATATACACTCGCTTATACCTTCCTTTTTTTGCCACATAATGAAAAACTTTATCGTTGCCATCATTAATGGTAAGGTGTATTCTAGATTATCGATCATCGACATTATATCGCCCCATATTTTGAGCAGAGAATGCACACTCGGAATAATACAGAACCAGAATCCTATATTCAGTATAATGATTACGCGGATATTTGTCATTAATTTCCCCCATTTAGTTTCATTATTTTTCGGCCAAATGCCCAACATTCTCAAGCAGGTCCGATTTAATTTGATGGCCCATTCGTAATCTTCACTTATATTTAAAAAAAAGGGATAAATAAGTTTTATTAAAATCAAATTATCTTATTCAATATATCAAATTTTTTTTATATGTTTGATCTCTTTTATATATTTTTTTCTCTCCGTTAGTTTTCTTTTCTCTGACAAATATTTATATTACTTTACGTATTCTTATTTGCAGAAAGTAGATAAACATCGAATCTCATTAGATCAGAGCATATATGTAATCATAAAACGTCACATCCAATATAAAAAAATGGCATTTTGTAAAATCAGATATTATTATTATTAATGATCGTGTGTATGTAAAAGAATAAAAGAACATCATTCTATGCTAACTTTAGAAAGATAAATATAGCGAATCATTATTCCAAAGATATATTCTCGCCTAATTTCAACTTGCATTTACAATGATCTCGGGTTATGGAAAATAACTCAAAGTAGGATATATCTGCTATATGAGATGATAAATTGGTCTAATCTAATCCGGTAATCGAGGAAGAATGAACACCTGCGTATGCCTGCTTTAATGTATCCATATCGGCGTCTGCAAAGGGACTGAGAGCTTCCTCACCCTTGTTTAGGTGGCGATAGATCGTTGCGTGCGACAAAATTCGCTACGCTTAATACCGTGTTCTACAGATGTACATATCGCACATCAATAATGCAATGTCCGTAACAAGAAGGTAGGCGATGTTTATAGCCACATGGTTTCTGTAATGAGAAAATTAATAGCACGAATGCGAACGAGAAGTATAGACACAGGGCCGCAGGTAAAAATAAAATTTGTAAACTGAAAAATTATTACTAAAAAATAAATTTTAGTTTCGATTTTGCGTACTATGTTTTTGCTTATTATGTATAAATCGTAAAAGATTGATTTTTAAAATATTATATAAATATGTGTAATAGAATTATAAAAATTTAAAAGTTTAATTTTTTATATCAATAATTGTCCAGTTGTGCTTTACCGTAGTTTTATTTTGAACGTTGCTTGTGTCCGTGGAATAACTTTCTTTGATAAGGACGAGATCTCTTTTTTCCTTGCACTTTCGCTCATCTCTATCTAGAAATTTGTGAAACCGATCCTGTGCGCCCCTTGTTAATGATTCATTGAAACTTCGTGGCGCAACAAGGGATGTAAAAGTTTTCCGAGCTGATCCTTCTCCAACTTCTATAAACAGTTGTTCTTTCATCACGTCTCGGCGAAATTACACGTTTGACTATACACTACAGACTATAGACTACTCGACTATAGCTGTAAATATGCACGCATTACCAATGCGTGTATGTTACCAGAGATGACTATGCTATCATAGAATAGTATCAGTGCGTGGGTCTTTCATCGGAGATGATTATATTAGCATAGATTATATCTAACAATAAGTGTGAATGTCACGTTTCGATTATTTCTCATACGGGCAAGTACCTTTCGATATATCTGGTACATATCATAAGAATTAAATAACGCGACAATTATACACAGTGTCTAAGAGGATACATTTAAATATTTCTCGTTTTTGAATATACGAGATTGTTAAGGACGAAGTTGGTTTGAAGAGACATGATATGATAAACATTAGAAAAAACTACCGGTTTATTGTTCTCGGCATTTCAAGATTCCCAAATTTCTTTTTTTAAACGAGATAATAATATTCTTATATATAAAAATGACTAGTTAATTCTTTTTATTACGTACGAATAAGAGATATATGCCAGTTTTTTTTCTTTTTTCTTTTTCCGGCGACGTAAATATTTATATTCTATTTAAATATACTACGTGAGATAAAGATATTTATTGAATAAATCTTTATCATACGCCAAAACACTAGTAACTTTCAGATATAGATAAGTCATTTCTATATTATAATAGTAACATAGACACTATTAAGGCATTAATGTTGTACTAGAACTTGTCTGAAGATCTTTCGTTCACACACAGTTACAAATATGAGATACACCAATATAAATAATATATTACCGCCGATGTCTTTCAACAATTTTAATAATACATTTATAGGAGAAAATGTACGACATGCTTATTAATGATTTAATAATATAAATAAAATGGGTTTTTCTTTCATCTATTATTATATTAATACTTTCTTGATGAAAATGAATAATATATATTTTTCACATAAACATTAGATTTTATATGCGACGATTAACTCATTTATTCAGCGTAAAATTTAGACAAAATACAGCATACACACACAAATATTCAGCGCAGAATTTATATTAAAATATGTATATGTTAAATATATTTTTTAGGGCAGTAATAAATCAGTTGATATACGGCCTTGGTGTTTGCGGCGTATAGCATATTAATGTTTACATCCAATTGTTGTCACAGAAGATATATGGCCTTCCCTGCGTACAATACAATGTTGACATGCGCGCTCAACTTGCCGTCAGTCGTGCGGCGAAACTCGAATGAGAAAGGTTGAGATTTTGTATATTGTTGGATTATACTTTTAGAATTTCTACGTTTATTATAATTAACTATTAACACATAAATATGTTGTAACGATTGTAATTAGCGAGTGATGAGTGTCGTAATTATGTGCAAAGAAAAAGCAGTTAAGGATGAAAGATGAAGTGGAAAAGAAGACCCAAAGAGATATCAAACTACTGCGGTGCAACGTTGAGGTGAGCAATTTATAATTAATTAAATTTATTATTCATTTCTCGAGATTAATTGCTCGTTTCTTTTTACTCTTAAGAAAGGCATGTTAAGTTGATACACGTATGTATGAAATGCCGTTCTCCTTTTTACCATATCAATTGATTCTCTCATTATTCTTACGTTGGTCATAGTCAGCTATCGTTGCTGAGATTGCGTATTCAATTCGAAGAGAGTTAGTGACATTTCTTTTATTATTCTGTGCATAGAAATATTGAGGTAACATAATCGAAAAATGAATATTTTACAAGATATTTTTTAGTTTATGTAAAATTATATCAAATTAAAGTAAAATATCTTGTAAACTATTCAGTTTTTAGCTTTCTACCCTTATAATTTATTACGCCTAATATTGCGAGAAATCGACTTATAAAGAGTGGATATATCTGTTATAAATCACGACTTTACTAATTTGTGAAAAATAAATTAAAACGCGCTTATCATAAATATGTTTTATCAAAAAAGAAAAAATTTTTTTTTTTAAATCATAAATAATATAACGACATTAGAATGCATACTGATGAGTTTATAAAAAAGTCTATACAAATCTATACAATACTATCAATAAAAGTAATACTTATCACAAATATGTATACTGATTACGTAAGCATACTACTCTTGTCTCTTGCAATGTTTCAAAATTAGACATTGTGGGAGTTTTTTATTCCCGATGTGCCAGCAAGACCGATATATAACTGCCCGATGTCTTTAACAACTGAAACACATATAATATACACGACAAATATTAGAAGCATATTTTAATCAATAATGATAAATAATTTTATTTCTGTTCTTTTTTTGTGTATTTTAAAAATATATAATCTAACTTTTAATACCCATTTATATGATTAAATACTTTTCATTTGATGTTTCCCATATTTTTGACACTAATTTATATAGTATTAGTATATACAATTTATTTTAATTGTATTTTGTAATTTTATTTGTATTCTTTAAATATTATCTAGTATGAATGCATAATTTTCAGAATATAAAAATAAGATTGTTATAGATTTATCCATATTTTGTCAAAAGAAATATTAAATTTATATATTTTATTTTTGTTGCAATATTTCTTTTATAACAAGTTAGATAGATATAAAGTTGATTTAACTCGCTTACATTACAAAGAGTAGCCATTGTCATAGGGAACAGTTTTCCCGCAGTAAGATATAGCGGTTTGTTGGCGCAAATCATTATAATCAATAGATTTCTCGCTTTTTTCGGCTCGAACGTGTACCATTTGAACTGGCATGCGGCTTCGTAAACTCCCTTGCACTTAACGAACAGAACGGTCATACGCAATAAAATTGCATGTTAAATCAATCAAGACAGATCAAGAAAATTTTAATTAGTATTACAATTTGTATCTTTTTGCTGCATTTGTAATAAACCAACAACAAATCATATCGTACTTACTTGCGCGACCAACATTTCTCCTACGACGCAGTAGAAACACGTATGTGCAAATGTATTAACAAATGTTGTCATGATGAAAGTTAAACGTGGTGCAGAGACATTGCGATGTTGAGTTATCACCTGACAACAGATGAAGATAAGATCAATAATAAATAAAAATAAATATTTAAAATTAAAAATCCATATTTACATTTTTTCTTAAATTTTTAAAAATTACTGTTTAAAATTTGAAAGATAACAAAAAAATATAAAAATTATTTTCTTAAATGTAATTTAAAAATATATCTGCTAAAAAAATATGATTTATATATATAAATATCTGCAAATCAAATTAGAGAAGAATACATACAGTACCGAATAAAAAACCATAAAAAGCAAATAGTATGCCAAAGTAAAAGAGCGCTCCAAGCAACATCAAAGCAAATATGTTATCGATGATATTGATCGATCTGCAAAAGAAAGTTATCAAGTAAAACAATATCAATGAGTGATTTAATCATTTCATTCGATTATTTTTATGAATGCGAAAAAGATGGATTCTATAAAACAGTTTAAATTTAACAGTTCATAACTGTTAAATTAAAAAAGAATTTTATTATCTTATTCTCTAAACATAGAGCATTAAAGAGAAATTTATTAATCGTTTCAATTTTTCGTAAATTAACTTTATATTTATTCTTTAATTTTGTATGGCACAAAAAAATTTAGTGACATTGAAACATTTCAAAATTGTACAATACTACATTATAGGCAAAGTAAAAAAAAGCAAAAGAATTCTTTGATATTATCGATGCTTAAGCATGATGAATAACCTGATAAGACGTATATGATCCTGTACGCTGTAAGATAGAAGGTTTTCGAAATTGTTAAATTTATCGAGGTCTATGACGCGTGCCTTGAGATTCTCCAGCTGACCGCACACGTGAAAGACTAGCACACTTAAGAAACAATCAGTACCAGTGTATACAGCGGCAAATATAGACATGCCGATAGTTTGCAGAACGTAAGTTATCTCATAAAGTGGGCTTTTATCTCGATCATAAAAGTAATACGTTTGTATCGGTACCAATCTACCCGGGTCCGTTTTATTCGTCAGATATCTTATTGAAATACCGAAAATAGGAAGAACCGTACACAAAAGAAGGGATATCAACATTATAAAATATCCAAATATCGTGAGTATACACGCGAGTCGCGCTCGTTTTATCATAACATTCCTTTCTTGCATAGTCTTTGGCTTTAACCAGTCGTGCTTAATCATGTTTAAAAGCGGTAGAATATCTAAAAATAATATGTATGTAGGACTACATGTGCGTCATAGTTACGTGCTTATTTTTGAGATAACAAAGATATCGAGAGAAATGTGTTTTCAGTGTACATAATTTACAAAGATATATGTTCGTTTATACCTTTCTTTTTCTGCCACATAATGAAAAACTTTATCGTTGCCATCGTAAATGGTAAGGTGTATTGCAGATTATCGATCATCGACATTATATTGCCCCATATTCTGAGCAGAGAATGCACACCCGGAATGATACAGAACCAGAATCCTATATTTAGCAAAAGGATTACGCGCACGTTTGTCATTAATTTCTCCCGTTTAGTTTCATTATTTTTCGGCCAAATGCCCAACATTCTTAAGCAAGTCCGATTTAATTTGATGGTCCGTTTGTAATCTGCACTTATATTTAAAAGAAATAGGATAAAAAAATTGTATTAAAATCAAATCATTTTATTCAACACATAAAAAATTTTTTTATGTATGATTTCTTTTTATATATTTTTTTTTCTCCGATAAAGTTTTTTTTTTCGACAATTATTTGTTTCGAATTATTCGTTTAAATCAGATATTATTATTATTAAATCATTCTTCCAAAGATACGTTCACGCTAGATTTCATTTAAAATAATTTCTCGTTATAACACAATGTATGCATATGTCTGTTGTATAAGAGGATGAGCTTGTCTAATCTAATCAAATGAATCGAGGAAGAAAGAACACCTGCGTATGCCGTGTGTATTGATGTATCCATATCGGTGTCTGCGACGGGACTGAGAGCTTCCACCCTCGCTTAGGGTGGCGATAGATCGTTGCGTGCGACAAAATTCGCTACGCTTAATACCGTGTTCTACAGATGTACATGTCGCACATCAATAATGCAATGCCCGTAACAAGAAGGTGGGCGATGTTTATGAAGAAATTAATAGCACGAATGCGAACGAGAAGTATAGATACAGGGCCGCACGTGAAAATAAAATTTGTAATCGCGTACTTAAAAATTATTACTGAGAAATAAATACTGGAAAATAAATTTAAAGTTATGCTAAATTGCGTACTATGTTTTTGTTAATTATATATAGATCATAAAAGATTAATAGTTGAAGATATATATATATAAGTATATATAATAGAATCATAAAAAATTAAATGTTTAATTTTTTATATCGATAATTGTCTAGTTGCGCTTTACCGCAGTTTTATTTTGAACATTGCTTGTGTGCATGGTATAACTTTTTTAAATAAGGATAAGATCACTCTTCTCTTTCTTGTACTTTCATCTGTAGCTAGAAATTTATGAAACCGGTCCTGCTATGCGCACCTTGTTAATGATTCATTGAAACTGCGAGGCGCAACACGGGACGTGAAAGTTTTCCGAGCTGATCCTCCTCTAACTTCTATAAACTGTTGTTTTTTTATCGCGTCTCGGTGAAATTGCACATTTGACTATAGACGAGTTATGGATATGCACGATTACCAGTGCGTATGTGTCATCGTAGATGACTATACTATCATAGATTATATCTAAATGTGAATATCACGCTTTGATCGTTTTTTATATGCGCAAGTATGTTTTGATATGTCGTGTATATGTATATCGTAAATTAAAATTAAATAACGCGACATTTATACACAGTGAGATGTCTAAAAGAACACAATTAATGTTCCTAATGCTTTTAAAAAAGTATTTATGTAAATTAATTTATAATTATTACTTTATATCAACTTTTTATTTTTTAAGAGAAATAAAACTCATGACGTTAATGGATTAAGAATTTATATAT